CAAAAAAAAAAAAAAAAAAAAAAAAAAAAAAAGAAAAGGAAAAAAAAATGCTCAGCAGCTCGTTGTTCTCGTTTCTCTGTTCACTGTGTATTCTTTTGTATCTTAAAGGATGTGAGAGTAGGAAAGAACCTTAGAAGTCTAACCCCTCCTACTCTATAAAACATTTATGACAAATGGATGATCAGCTCAGTATCTACAGGAGAGATTATCCCATTATTTGACAGTTCTAATTGTTACAGCCTTCTTTGCCACTCTGCAAGGACGAGACTGTGTGATATCTGTTTTTCATTGCCTGACCAGCAGCCATGCCTCCCTGCTCTGGTAGGAGAACCACTCCTGCCCCACTCTCAGTCCTCTAGGTTGGAATCGGGCTGATCCCTCTGGTTACATGGGAAGCTCATGATTTGGGTTTGGCCAATCAGCATACTCCACTCCTCTGGCAAGAATGATTAATTCAAGGATAGCATAGGACCAAAGTGGGTTTAGTGAGAATTAGCCCTGAGATCCAGAGCTGAGAGATGCAGAGGATGATCCCTGATGCAATAATTTGGGCCACTCTAAATTCAGGGACTACCTTGGACTCCTTAAAAACATGTGTCAATACCTCCCTCTGTTTGTTGCCAAGAACATGAGCCAATCCTTGTGTTTGCATAACTTAGTTTGAATTGGGTTTCTTTAACTGCAACCAAGATAATCCTAGCTAACAAAGTGGTAAAGGCAAATTTAACTCAATAAACATTTATTGAGCACTTACTATGTGCAAGCTCTAGGCTGAGAGTTCCCACACTTAGGGAATTACAAACTAGTAGGAGAAATTGACACATACACACACACTCATACCACAATTTTCCAGCCTACAAGGTAGACTGGATATGTGCTATTCAAGAAAAATGCTACAAGATACCAGGGAGAGATTCATTCTGACTGGGGAGATCAGGGACTGTATCATGGAAGAGGTAACATATAAATCTGGCATTGAAGGAGAGATAGGATTTTGACAGGCTACTCTGACACAGGACAACATTCCAGGAGGAGGAAGTCATGTGAATAAAGGGCTGGTGATGAAAAGGTAAAGTAGAATCTCGACTATTTTTTTCCTTTTCAGGAAGACTGCTAAGAGACCAATTCAATTTTTAAATTTCAAATCCAGCATGTAGATAAATATGAGAAGTTTGTAAGAAATGTTCATCCCTGGGCATCCAGCATGTGAAATCATCAGTCCTTTCTCTTCTGTCTTTCTCACCTCTCTCTAATGGCAGAAGCACTGGCATTTACTCATAAAAATCCGCTGCTCGAGATCGAGAGATCCTGGAAACCCAAGAGGGTTTCCATGGACAGATGCCACAACGTTCATTTCTGAAATGAGAGACATGTCTATGCAAGTCTGTTCGAGGTGAATGGCTTTCTCTTATGCTGCTGCTCAACAGTCCAGATGTGAGGCTGGTGACAGATGGTGTGCAGATGAGGGCCCTGTTCCCTCTGCCGGCCAGCTGTTGCTTCAAGAAGGTTTACTCTGGTTATAATCTCATTGGCTGGAATTATTGAAAAGGTGCTTTAAGTGGAATAAAAAATCTAGCTTCAGAATGATTTAAGTTCTCACTTATAGAAAGAAATTTCCATAAAGTAGTGTGGAGTCAGGTGCGAATTTCATAGTGATTCTGTTTTTTTTTCCCCCTAATACCCACTGCATAAATCTTAATAATTTTTAAAAATACAAGCCAGGGCAAGGGAGGACATAGCTATTCTTTTCTCTGTAACCTAACACAGAAAAGGAATGGGGGAGTAAAATAATAAGAAAGACCTGGGAGGGACTGACCACAAGTTATCTAGAAGGGAGACAGATGAAGACCAGGTCTGAAAGTAATAAAGGATATTGAACGGAATTTTTGATGCTTCCTGATGTGAATTAATAAAAGGAATCATGGACTGTAAAATCATAAACCACATAATCTTAATGCTTAGTCCATTTAGCAATTCCAAGATTTGTTCCATGGAACATTATTTCTGGATGGATGTTAATAAGTATAACATGAAAATAAACATATTTGGAAAATGGGTTTAAACAGGTTAATTTGGAGCAGGACTTCTCAGAACCCTTAGAAGACCACCACACACTGTGAATTTCCAAGAGGGATAAGTAGGATACAGTATTTCCAAAATTTTTTGGCATAGGTCATTCATTTCCCTAAGCATCAAAAAGGGCCCATGTGTGTGGGATATACACACAGTGGGAGATGATAAATTCAACTACCTCATTTTACAGATAAGAAACTCAGGTCCAGAGAGGAAGGTGGTTTATGCAAAGCAGCCGTGTTTCAGCTTGTTCGATACTGATGGACAGGGCTCAGGAGTTGATTTCTACTACCTGAAGTAGTTACTGGAGTTTCACAAGATTGGTCAAGCACAGAGCTGATCTAAGACCAGGCTGCTCTTCTTTCCAACTCCCTAACCATGCAGACTCAAGCTAAATAGTTGTCTTTTTGGATATCAATTTCCTCATTTAAAAAAAAGCATAATAATTCTCGTTTTACCTATTTCACAGGATTATTTTGTGAGGGTCAAAATATTCAGATATATGAGAGTACTGTGAAGCGTGAGCATTTTATAGGAATTCAAAATTAATTTTTTAAAAATTGACATTTTTGGACAATGCTCTCAAACTGGAACATGCATCAGAATCTCCTGGAGGGCTTTGAAATACACAGATGGCAGAGTTTCTAGATTCAGTGTGTCTGGGGTGACGGGTGAGAATCTGCATTTCTAACAAGTTCCCAGGTGATGTTGACACTGCTGGATCAGGGACCACCTTTGAGAGCCATGACCTAAGGGATCCCAAAATGAAGTATGTGATGTCTATAAATGATCCTGGGAGAACAGTACACAGTTTTGATGTGGTAGAAAAAAGCAAAAGATGGATAAAACTATCAAGGATGGAGATCTGCTCTGAGCCAGGCACTGTGTAGGTGAATTCTCCCCACCCCAGGCCTGTGATAAAGGATTCACTTGCCCTGTTTTATAGGGGTGACCCTTGGAGGAATCATGCAGCCAGTAAGTTGGCAAAGTTGGGACTCAAATCCAGGTATTTGTCTGTAAAGCTCACTGTCTTTATGCTTCACCAAGACAAAGGACACACAGGAAAGACAACCTATGACATGAATAAGGCACAAAGACATATCCATACAAGAAGCAAAAACTTCATTTGCAGGATGTAGCATTCTGCAAACACAGACATTTGCTGTTCTCTCAGTTGATATTGGCTTTGCAGTCCAGTGTTTGGATGGCGTGATTTCTACGAGGTAGCATGTCCTGGTGTGGAGTGCAAAAGCCCGTGCTGCATGTCCTGACTCCATTACTAGCTGTGTGTCCCTTGCCAACTTATCTAACTTCCCTGGGCCTCAGTGTCCTCAACTACAAAATGTGGAAAATAATCTTATCTCCTCTATGGAGCTGATACGAGGAGCAGATAAAAGAATGTGAGTAAAGTGTTTAGCACAGCACCGAGCACATACTATGTGATGAGATGTTACTACTGCCATTGCTGATAAGAACAAGAAGGACCAAAAGGAACAGAGATGCTGATTGACTTAGCTATTTAAAAGGCACAGAAAATAAATTTGGAGGCATTCAGATGAATTTTTCCTGACCTCACTGGTGGTTTGTGGTTAAGAGATACTTCTCTAAACACCTCTGTTTTTCCCCAGGGGGACAGAAAAGGGAAGCTACACTAAAAATCAAGGGAGGGCATCAAATGGGACCCATCATGGAGCCTACAGAACACAGTTTTTACCAGGCAGAGGGCCAGGCCTGGTGAAGGGGAGGAGGAAAGGGCAGGCCAGCAGCCGAGGCATCCAGGGGTCACTCCGGCCTGTCTGAAACCTGATGAGCAACGGCTCACCATGCACTGCTGGCTACTGGGGGGCTCACCCTCAAGATGATCACACCATCATTCAGCCTTTTTTTTTTTTTTTTTTTTTTTTCTAATGGTACAGCACTCCATGAGGTGAAGGTGAAGATGAATGCTGGAGAAGGTGAAAAGTTCACAGTAGTTGCCAAGGGGATGACCTTAAGAGCTTGGTGGGGGTTCCCATGGAAACCAACCTCCAGATGCAGCATGAACCATCCAGGTCTCTTTCATCAGTGGAGCTTCCCAAAGTGAGAGGCAGTAGAGGGAAGAAAGAAGGGGAGGAGCACATCCCATTCCTCAACTCATTGACCACCTTCACAGGTCACCTCAAAAGCCACCTCCCTGAGGGAGATTTTCTTTATTCCATCTTTTTCTTCTTTGAATTTCCTTTGTACTAGTGTATCTCTCATGGCCATCGTGACCCTTCTTGCCGTGATACGAGGCAATGAGATTTTAAGTGCTCCTCAGTGGTTGCTTTGTCCCGACCAGCACTTATCACCAACCTGGGGCTTGGCACAGGCTTAAGCTCAAAGACTGCCCCCCGCCACCCTCGGAGCTTCCAGTTGCTGTGAGTGAAGCTGTGGTGGTCTCTTTTCTGCACATGGCAGCTGGATTCTTTTTCCAGTGCCTTTTGTTGTTCCTCTACTGAAGAGCCTTCATGATCTCTCGGTGCCCACACTCTGCCCCTTGTCACCTCTCACTCAGACTTACCCTGACTGCTCCTCCACCCAAGCCCTTGACAAAGCCGTCAGTGTGTTCTTACTCTCCCCCACACCTTACTTATTCCCCCGCCATCCTATTGCTTATGCTTTAGAAATTCCTGAGCTGTCTTTCTCTTTCTATTTGAATATGGCCACTTTTCATGTTCCACATCCTTCCTGAGGGCTATGCAAACCCACATTAGCCTCTCAACTGGACAATACAATTTAGATTCCTTGATTCTATGCTGTCTTTTCCTATTCTCTCTCTCTGTCTTATCTACACCATAAAATGGTAAGATCCTTAGGAAAAGGGATTAGATCTTTTGCTTCTCAATGACTCCCTAAATACTCAGAACAATGCAGGGCATTCAAAGGCTTCTCAAAACTGCTTCAATTTATTGGAGATTTTACAGCAATTGGACATGGAGTTATTTCAAGTGTGGTGAGTGACATAAAGATGGACTAGACCTACCCCTCCTACAAGATAACTGTTGTACATGGCAGGGAAGCCATAAAAGAAGCAGAAACCAAATTCTACAGGGGAAGGCAAGAACTGTTAAAAGTGGAGTTCACATCTGATATGGAGATAAAGAAATGACACCTTGGAAAAAGTCATATTTAATACAGGGTTTGGAAGAGGAGTAAGATTTTCGAGGTGGAGAATGGAAGGGAGCACTTGAGGGGACAGAGTGAGCACAGAGGCAGTTGGGTTGCATTGTAAGTTGCATGAGAGGGTGGATAGGGGCAAGTGAGTAGAAAGTCAGGTTGGATCCAGGTGCATCTAGTACCAGAAAGAAATTTATACTGAGGGAGCCATACATGACTTTGACTGGGGAAGTGACAACTCAGCAGTCTACCTCAGGAAAATCAAACTTGGAGTTATACTGCCATCTGTCTAGACAATGATCACTTGAAGTCACCTGGAGATGCTGAATTGGGCTGAGGGATTTGGGACCAGGAACCTGAACAAAGAGTGTCTTAAGACATTGGCTTTTGGATGACTCATCTATTCAGCAGCAACAATACTCAAATATGGGGTCTAACAGGCATCTGTGGGCAGGGCCAGCTAACCACCAAATCCTCTGCCTCTGACCTCCAAGTCCCTACCCTGGGGGGAACTTACTCCATAGACCAGCTCTCCCACCATGCCATTCCAGGCCTTTGTGTCAGGGTCTCGGGCTCCATATTTTCCATCACTGACGATCTCGAGACGGTAGGAGTAGCCCACATGCTTGGCGATCTCTGCCGCCAGCTCTACACAGTAGCCCTCGTAGCGGTCATTGCCCTCGAACTGGTTAGCATTCTTCTTGAGCATCACATAAGGATCTTCCTGGTAGAGAAATGGGGAGACAGAGAATGTGGGTTATGGGTTCATCCACAGGTAGGGAGGACTTTGGCATAGGAGAGGAGGATGTCATGAACATTGGTTAACACTGAAGAAGTCTCTCTAGCCCTGAAATCCACTTCTTGAATTTCTGTCCTCCCTACCCCCATTACAAACTTCTTGGGTTAAGGAAGCAACCTTTGTTGAAATAAGAATGTTTCATCATTGAGATACGGTGTACAGCTTTTCAAATTATGTTCCAGGAGCTCTTGTAATGTTTGGAGACATGTCTGGGGGCACTATGATGGTAAAGCAGACCCTGAATAGGCTCCAGGTTTCTATTATTAATCACTGAAACTCATAGCAGCTTCACTTACATGTACTTCGTGTGCTGGACTTCAGGTGACTTGCTTTGAAAATGACTTCTACTGAGGGAAAGTGGAGCATGAAAACCAGCACAATTTAGTCTCACCCTTATGTCTTCTACATGGGAAAGCTGGCTCAAAAGAGAGTAACTGGCTTATCCTAGGGTACAAAGTGAGAGAGTGAAACTACGAGGTACAGAGTGAAAACTCAGAACCTTTCATTTCCAAGGCATTCTGTTTTCCACTCCTTGTTTCTATCTATGGCACGCTTTCGGCAGGAAGAATGACCAGCTTTCATTCCTGGTGGAAAACCTTTGTGTTGGTCTGGCTTGAATCCCAAGTCACCCTGATGAAGGACTGAGTACTCACTAGGATTGTTGTGACGATGTATGTTCTATTCTGAACACTTGAGTTATCCCCCCCAGCTTGAGCATCGGTGGCTGCAGGGACAAACTTATCATCTTCATTCCAGTAACCGATCTGTTAATGAGAAGAAGGTGGAGATGTAAGGAGGTCCAGGCCACCAGCCAACACCAGAGACAGGAAAGCAAGGAGCTCAGCATCATACCTCACAGTATGGGACACACCGGCCTCTAAAGCATTGGCAGACAGAGGCAACAAGAGGCAAGATGTTTTCCAGGTCTCCCCTACCTTGCCCCCAGTGAAAATCCTCACCGTGGTGGGCTAAACCTGGAAATTGCTCCCTCTGAGGGATGAGAGTTTAACAGTTTACACAGCTCACCTATTTTGTTCAGTGTAACCCAGGGCTGTGGGGATTTAGTTCCCCGCAGTTGTTCCAGGGCCAAACCCCTCTTTCATTCATGCCTATTAACACTTCTCTTCACCGAACTCATTGTGAAGCAGTTGGAATCATGTGATTTAAACATTACATTCCTCAAGCAATTGGAATTATGTGATTTAAACATTACATTCCTTTTACTTTTTTTTCAGGTTAGCAGTATTTTTCCATCTAGATTTAACTTCCTGGGATGGTTATTTTATCCTTTCTTTATTTCTTTTATTTCCAGGTATAACTATTATAATGCTGAGCCTACAGTAGTGCCTAAAAATAATGGTTGAGAACATTAATTGTTCAAATATCAGAAGGTTATTCATACTGACTCATTTTCCAAGGTCTTTCAGCTAGAATCTACTGAATCCCTATTGTGTGCAAGGCTCTGAGCTAAGAACATTGGTGGTGCTGTGTGGCACGGTTGAGAGAGACACAAAGAAGTCTGAGAGACAGTTCTTGCTCTGAGAACACCTCTGGTCTTCTTGGGAAGACATAACACACATGTACGCATGACCCTAGAAGTGACAAGTGAGTGGCCCTAAGGAGTTCAGAGACGGAAAATCCAAGTGGGGGGACCTATGCAGGGAAAAAAGCAGGAGGAGGAGGCAGGGCTTCAGATTCTGGGAGATGCATGGAGTGGGCCCAAATCTTTCAGGTTAGGGAGAACATGAGCCAAGTGTGATGGCAGGAATCTGCCCAGATGTGTAAGTTCAGCAGTTTTTGGATGGAAGACAGGGTTAGCCCAAGAGGGCAGTGCGTGCTTGGGTCTAAGCAGCAGAGAGCTTTGAAGGCCAGGCTAAGCAGTGTAGACTATATCCTGAGGGCAACAGGGAGTCATGGAAGGCTTTGGCACAGCAGAATGACATGGCTGCTATACACACACAGACACACACCTATACCTCCTATATCCTTCTCTCTCTTTCTCTCTCTCTCTAGACAGTTGTATTTTGTTCTGAGATCTTTCTGCTGGCTGTAGATATAAAGGGAGAAAAAGGAAAGAGAACTCCAAGTACATATGCAGAAGGAGCAGCAGGTCTACTGACAGCCAGAACTCAGCTCAGGCTCACAAAAACCGAGGCACATGCCAAACGGTCTGCTCAGATGTCACCTTCCCCTGATGTTTTTCCCAGCTCTTTCAGTTTGATATAAACAGTTCTCCCTGTGATCTAGCAGCCATCAACAACCACCATTGCTAGCACTGATGATGTTCTTGCTATCTCAGAGGCTCAGTGTTTTACAGTTTTTGTGCCCTTTCGTCTTGCTGAGGGGGATATGTTAACTTTTCCAAGGTGATGTAGCTGGAAAGTGGCTGAGCTTGGCCTGGAACCCTGGAAATCTGTCTACAGATGCTGGTTTTAACTGCTATGTTGTTCTTGCAAAGAGAGGACTTGGCCCTGGTCTGGGAATCATATTAGTTGTTATTTATTGAATACTTGAAGAGTTTAATTGATTGAATTTATTGAAAGGTGTTTCAGGCACTCTTCTAAATGCTTTTTATGTCTTAAGTCCGTTCATTCTCACAAAAACCAATGAAGTGGGTAGTTAATGATCACTCCCATTAAAAACACTCCCATTTTAAGTGTGAAGAAATTGAGGTGTGGAGAAGTAGCTTTTCCAAGGCCACAGGGGAACCGTGGAGCCAGGATCTGAGGCAGGAAGGCTGACTGCAGGGCCATGCCCTCCTGCACTCCAGGAAGCTGCTAGCCAACCCTGGAGATGCCTCCCATGACAGCCCTGTGGTCAAGCTGTTTGCAGGTCTGTCCCCAACTCTCCACTCTGCTCCTTGTGGCAGAGACTGTAGTGTACTCATTCTAGGGTCCCTGTCTGAGCCCAGCACATCCTTTCACAGAGAAGCAGCTCAGGAATCACGTGTGGAGAGAATGAACGCATCTAGGCAGCTGTGACCCAACACGGAGTCAACACCTCTGGATGCTGAGTCAGTTCAGAGGCCTGAGGAGGGAGTGTGTCTCTCAGGACACTGTGTGGAGATTTTCCCTAATGTCGCCTGCGTAAGATGCTGTTAGTAAATGTGGAAGGAGACATTCTTTCTAATGACACAAGGACCAGAAGCTTAGATTTCTAGAATGTCAGAGATGGAAGAGGCCTAAGGAATCATTTCATCCACCCCTTCCTTTTTACACAGAGGGAAACAGACTCAAGGCCAGGAGACTTGGTCAAGACCACAGTGCAGTCTCACCTCCCTCCTTCTGTTAGGGCAGTGCTCTAAGGAACCCCAGGGGACTTATGTGCCCCTTCACCATTTTCATGGGAGGTGGGGAGGGGGTCAGGGAAGAGGAGGGAAGCTCTGGGTTCCTCATCCTTGCTCCAATAGTCAGTTCTGCTTTTTATCTATTTCACATATTGGGATTCCCCTTAAGAGTTGCTTTTTACAAGAAGCCCTCTGGCTGAAAATAAATGTTTAAAATCACTATGGTAGTACATCATGATGCAAGGTGGTTTTTGTCTTTGTTTTGGTATTGTTTTGTTTCATGTTTTAATCTCCAAAGTACTTTCAAAACATTTAACTCTTTCGATCCCTATACTATGCAAATAGTACAGAAAACTGGCTTGGGATTATTATCTCTGATTTATAGATGAGAAAACAGGTTTAGAGAGATCAAATGATCTAACTTATAATAGCAGATCAGTGGCAGGGCATAGAACCCAGGTCTCATGGACCTCAATGGTAAGATTAGTATACAAAATCAGTATAAACTTAGGAGAATGCTTGCCAAGTATGATTATCTTTTTTCCCCCATAGATGATACTAAGGTATTTTTGCTCCTCCATTTTCTTCCCTCCCTCCCTTCTTCCCACTCTCCCTCCTTTCTTTCTTTCTTTCCTTCCTTCCTCCCTCCCCCCACTCACAATTAATACTCAGGTTTGGCTCTTCCTACTCAAACTGTACAACCACCAGCAGAGAGGAAGAAGTTGCTTCCTTTGACATGCAGCTAATTCCTCTAAAATCTATAGTGTATGAAGAGGTTTTACTTAAAAAAAAAACAGGGGGCTCAGTGGTTAAGAGATCGGTTTCTGGACTCAAACAGAAGTGGTTTAAAAGCTAGGATTTCCCAATTACTATCTACATGACCTTGGGCAAGTTACTTGACCACTATGGGCCTCAGTTCCTGATTTGTAGTATGGATAGGACGGCAGTACCTGTCTGATGGACTGCTGTGAGAACTGAATGAGTTGATGCATGGAAAACAATTAGCATAGTGCATGGTTCATATTAAGTTGTCAGTAAGCTAAAAAATGATATTCATTAAGGCAATGCCTAGTTGAAGTTTTACAGGTTTCTATACGACAAGACGTTTCAGTTTTCCATTTGCTATTAAACATTATCAATTTCCAAAAGAAGTACATATTATAGAGCCTTTCCAAACTCATTTGAAAATCTAACTCTTCCTTACATACAAAATGTCTTGGGGAAAGTGGTTCAAGAATCACAAAACACTGCTCTGAAATCTCAAGTTATTTTGATAAAAGACAGGGGAAAAAGATGAATCTGTGTAGGCCAGATTTACATGGCTTAGAAGAGACTTGTTCAGAATAGTGGTCTTTCAAAGTTACTATCATAGCACTACTGTTAAATTGGGATCTATAAAAAATATTGTATAGCTTGACTTATATATAGCTACTTTCATATCAAAAGTTGGTAAAATACTTAAATGTTGTAAACAAGTTTATTTAATTTCCAACCGTTTTGTAGGGAAATAAAACATAATATTGCCAGGGTCAGTAGAGGCCAAGTGACACCAAACCACATGCCTGCACCTCATGTAAGCTAGTAGACTGAGAAATCTGGTTCCATGGTTTGATGAAAAGAAAACTGGCAAAGATTTTTGAAGTGACATTGCACTTTGGAGATGAGAGCAAATTTCCCTTTCTTTGAGAAATGGGTTGGATTATTATCCAGCACTTTGATTTTCTACTGAGGATATGCAGGAACTTTGATTCTATCTGAAAGTAAATCAGAGTTAGTAGTTTGGTAAAGATTGGGGCCCACCACTCAGGAGAGGATTTAAACAATTCTGACAGTGAGAGGTCTTCTCCTAGGGCCAGTTACCATTTTTGATCTCCTGTTTTCCATCTACCTCTAAAGATTCTTTGAATGTAGGAAATGAGTCTAGATGATAGATCAGATTTTTTTTTTAAATGGATGAAATTTAAAAAGGAGATGATCATAGAACTGCAAATTCAATTGATCTACCTTGCACAGTCATCAATTTGAATTTATACATTGATATCTACAGGATGCCTCTGAAGCCATAGCCTCTGACTTCCAAAAAAATGAGGTCCATTATAATCAATTTTTAAAAAAATTGTATAATCAATTTTTAAAAAGTAAGTTGCTTACTGTGACAAAGAATACTAGCTGACCATTAAGTATTCTTGTTTGCCTTCCATAGTGTAGAGAGGTTGGTGGGAAGTGGCTACCTATCCAGCAACTAAATTTCTCAGCCTGCTTTGCATCTAGTTAGGCCAAGTGATTGGGTTTCAGCGAATGGAATACAACAAAAATAATGTGCATTTCTTCCAGGTTAACTTCCCCAAATCTCCAGCATGGTTTCCATTTTCTTTCTTCCCCATCTGTTAGCTGGATGTTGACAGCCACAAAAACCCAGATCCACAGTGGAGCTTCTATAAGCCTGACTCAGCCAGAGCATTCAGCCCCAAAACTGGC